CCACCACCGCCGCAACCCAGCCCAAACAAGCTTCGTTCTTGGCTGTTCGACGCCATAAAGAAAGAAAAACCAAAACTGGCAAAGGACAGAACGAGAATCAGACCTTGTGCTCCTACCACCCACATCACCTGGACCTTTCCTTGCAAGGATTCGAGAATAGCAAGAGGAAACAAGTCATCGCGCTCCACACTCTTCTCTTCTCTCTCTTACCAAGTCTCTGTTCAAGTACAAAGAGAAAAGGGCCCCCGGACACATCTTGGTCTGCCCATCAGAACCATACCACACATCACTCATCAGTCAGTCAGGGAACATCAGCAGACCTGCCGCATTTCGTCCATCAGCTCATCAACGCACTTACACTACACACACCGCCGCTCGCCCTCGGCCTCGCGCCTTACACCCTTACCACCACACGCCCACCCAAAAGAACCTGCGTGCCCGCATCAACCTCGCCTATCCTTCGGGATCCGGCGAATCGACTCTTTTTGTCCTTTTTGGGTTTCCAAAAATTTCTGACGGAACCCATTATCCTCTTGGAGGAACCTACGCCCCAAAACGTCACACCACCTCCCTTATTTTGCGGTTCATCCGCCCCCCTCACCCCCTTTAACCCCTGTCCATCTTGTTGGCCCATCTTAGCCAGCCAAGATTTACAAAAGAAGACTTGAGGGCCGCAACCGAACATTCCAAGATTCAGCAAGCCCTCGAAATCCGGGGAACGCACCACACAACCGCACCCAATCATGCCCCACCGCGTAGCAAACTTCCTGCGGAATTCCACTGAGAACTTCAGTGTTTCTGCCATTGCAAACCTCAAGCCTAAGACCAAGCAACACCAGCAACATCACCAGCCCCGTCACAACAACGTCCAGGACGAAGGCTTGTTGCGAAGAGTCCCTCTCGACCGCCACTCCTCCTACTCCTCCGATGACGGCGAGCACATCCCTTACCACAACATGTTCGCAGCAGATCCCGCAGACCACCTCAAGGAGAAGAAGCACCACCACCACCGCCTCTCTCTGCCTTTTGGCCGCTCCAACAAGGACTCGCACGACAACTCGCATGCAGGCCTCGACCTGAAGATCGAGAGCCCGCCCATCGTTTTCTTTGGCGATGCAGAGTCCTCTACTGGCGCCCTCGTCTCGGGCCAGATGCAGCTCGAAGTCAAGGACGAGCAGCTGCAGATCGAGACCTTTGGCGCCAAGCTCAATATCCACGTCCAGCAGAAGCGCCCCTTCACCAACCACTGCGGCGAGTGCACCAACCAGTACACCGAGCTGAAGCGCTGGACGTTCCTCACGCACCCCACGACGCTTAAGAAGGGTATTCACCAGTTTCCCTTCTCTATTCTCCTCGAGGGTCACCTCCCCGCGTCCATGGACACGCCCATCACCTCCATCGCCTACGAGTTCAAGGCCGAGGCCACCCTCGTCAAGGGCACTCCCGGCTCGCAGACGCCCATCAAGTTCGAGCAGAACTTTGACGTCAAGCGCTCCCTCCCTCAGCCTGAGTTCCCGCACCACTCGGTCCGCGTCTTCCCCCCCACCAACATCAAGGCCAGCGCCCACTACAACCAGGTGATCCACCCGGCCGGCACCCACAACGTCTCGTTCCGCCTCGACGGCCTCACCAGCGCAAACGCCACCAACAAGACGGTCGAGTTCTGGAAGCTCAAGAAGGTTACGTGGAAGCTGGAGGAGACCATCAAGACCGTGGCCCCCGCCTGCGAGAAGCACGCCCCGGTCCCCGGTAACGCCGCCAACAACACACAGCCTCAGCAGAAGGGCGTGGCCCGCACCGAGACCCGCGTACTCGGCGAGAAGTACATGCACGACGGCTGGAAGTCGGATTACACCAGCACCGACGGCCACGTCGAGTTCGAGTTCGACTACGGCGTCGTCGCCAGCAAGCATAGCCACGGCCCGCGATACGCCTGCGACATGAAGTCGAGCGACGGCACCGAAGTCTCCCACGCACTCATGATCGAGATGGTCGTCTCCAAGGAGTGGGCGCCCGTCGGCAAGCCCCACCTCGCGACGCAGACGGGCACCGGACGCATCTTGAGGATGCACTACCACGTGATGCTCACCGAGTGCCCCGGTCTCGGCGTCAGCTGGGATAACGAGGCGCCGCCCGTGTACCAGGACGTTCCCCCCTCGCCGCCCGCGTACCCCGACGAAGCGGCTCCCGTCGACTACATGAGCCTTGAGCACCTTGACGGCCAAGCGCACAACGGACTGGCGCATAGCCGGGAGGGATCCGTTACCGGCGGATCTACAACATCATGACACCACCACTAGAGGAGGAGAGTCGTGAAAAATACCTAATCAACAACCACAAAAAAAAAAACAAAAAAAAACACATACAACAATTCAAGAGACGGGATGAAAAGGAAAACAAAAAGTTATTGGATTTAGGATTTGCTTTTTTCAAACGCATTATACCCCCTGGTTCTCGAACCGGGCGCTTGTTTTCTTATAGGATTATAACTTTTTTTGGTGGGAAAGACATTGTCACAACTCAGTTGGAATTTACTATGGACTTTTTTAAAGAGACGCATGGCATTGAGTGAAATGTCCATGAGAATGTGTCCTACATTGCGAGGCGTTTTACGGGGACTTTGAACAGAGCTGATGGAAGAGGCGCATCATCGATGATGCCAAGGTTCCCGTCACATGGCTTCTCAGTGGCTAGCTCGATCACGAAACATACAATTGGAGCAAGAATTCAATACACAAATCACTCTCAAAATTACTTTGCATCTCATTATGATCTTCCAGTGTGACTTATTGGGACTGACTTTACGAATGACTTAGTCGAACTTCATGCTTCGAGTGCGCTTCAACGGCAAATTGTGCCGCTGGATTACTGCTCAGTGGACATAGAGACAACTTCAAACAAAATTTGCCCCTCACCAACGAAACCACAGACTATGCGACTCACGACGCGTGGGATGGTAACATGTGAAATCCATTTCGAGTCACGACCCTTGATAATTATAGGCTATTGGCAGGTCCTTGTCCGATGTGTACACTACCTTGCGGCTCATCCCACGTTTTCTGTTTGCTAGTTTTGTTCTCGCATTGCGTTTACCCGCTGCGGATGCTGCAAGACCTACTGGAGATGCAAGGTTTTTTGGGACGGGAATGTCCCGAGCTTCAAGCTATTGAGTTAATCTTAGGAAACAATTACTTGACGAAAACTACTAGTTGGGTGTGTTGGGGTGCAAGTTGGAGAAATTTTGGGACGGAATTTTGAGACTCATGAGAGTCTAGAACGCCCGCCGACAAACGGCGAATATCCTTGGCGAGCGGTTGATCTGAGCTTTGGAATGATCTAGTGAAGGGTCTTTTTCGGCAAATTGAGTAATGTACCGGTGAGATGAGATTCCGGGAGTATCGTGAGTTTGCGGCGTGCGGCCTATAGAGTTGAGTTGCCGGGTTGTTAATGCGTTGCTGTAAGTTTCCTAAACTTGCTCACTTGCACATCACGCATAGCAGTACTACACAGGCAGTTGAAACGGAAAGTATTTCCCTGCTCGGCATGTTTCCCCGGCAGCAGCAGTGCCGCGTCGCTTGAAAGGGCAGCTCGCGTCCGCCCCGTGGTTTGGATGGCGCGATAATAGTCTCGAAATGGATGATTCTACTTCCAAGGTCATCTCACGATAGTGCGGTGTGCGGAGGAGCTCTTAAGCGTCCCCCTGGCGGACGGTGGGCGGTGGGCGGTTTTCCGTGCGCTGTGTGATGTGTAGCCGGTGTAGGGTGCAGGAGAAGGGGGACGATGTGTAACCGGCGCACCGGGCCGGGTGTGTCGTGGCCAGCCCGCCCACGCACCTTCGGATGACAATCCGGTAGGTAGGGGCAAGGAGGCGGGCTCAATAATGGCTTGGGACGTATTTTATGAGTCAAGCCAGGCCGAAAGTCATGCGAAAGCCGTGTCAGAAACTCAGAGGAACGGTTGCGAACACCGGAGCCGGCCCGTTTGGGGATGGCTCACAGGGCGTCTCGCAAGGTGCGAAGGTGCGAAAGGAGCCGTGGCAGAGGAGGGGAGAGCCTGAGAGACCGCGCTCCAGGGCTTCTGCTCGGGATCGGTGACACCCGGGTCCAAAGGGGGAGGGAGGGTGGAGGGGCGTGTTGGAGAGCGCCCCCGGGGTGGCAGAGGCAAGTTGCGGACGACGGAAGAAGTGGTTTCTCTTACGTGATTGATGGGGACTTGCCGGAGGCGCTCCCGGAAGGCGGGATGACTTGCCCACGGGCAGGCCTGGCAGGACCTACCTACGAGCCTCGAGGCACTGAGTCTCGCAGAACTCAAGAACGAAAATTAGAAGGGCAGGTCCAAGGCGTGCTCGGCGTGCTTCTATTTGGCCGGCGGCACACACTTGAACATCGGCGCGTATCGTGGAGTTCCGAGCCTGCTCAGATTGTTTCGTTCGGGTTCTCATGAGCAGTTGACAGAGTTTCTGTCTACTTGCTTCCGTGTAAGACGGAAGGGTGGAGGGTCTGTACAGTTGCTTCGCCTATGCTCGCTTCATATTCCCTGAAAGTTGGAACTGTCTGGGGAGAATAATTTTGCTGAAGAATTTTCTCTCTCACTCACTCTTGAAGTTTGTGATGAAGCGATGCCCACATCGAACCCGCTTGCCCCATCGCTAGCTCCAACACTTTTCTGTAAGTTTTTTTTTTCTCCAATAGCGCCAGACCCCATACTCTGATGGATCGCCACTGGGGGGGTCTCTGAATTTTGGGTTTTTTGTTGGCGTGCTTTTGTGTGCCTGCTTGGAGAAAATTGCATGCAAACACTCACAAAACAGATGCAACAGTGATCCCAGCAGAATCATTACGTCAGAACCCCACTAGTCGGCGAAGATTGCGAAAAATCGGGTTTTGCTCTGATGTGTGCTACTGCGGGCAAGGCGAGTCAGAAAGCGCTGTTGTCTGCGACTATGCATTGCGCGGGGAATATAAACGGGCTTCTTTCCTGGGATTCTCATCAAAGCAATTGGCCGGCTGGCGCAATGGTAGCGCATCAGACTTCTACCTTCTCTTCCTTTGAGAGTTGTGGTTATCTGGGGGTTGTGGGTTCGAGCCCCACGTTGGTCATTCTTTTGCCCATTCGGTCTAATTTCTCCTTTGTAGCGCAGGAGAAATAGATTTCTTCTTGTTTTACAATAATTCGTTGATTGCCGGCCGATCTACGCTGTAAAACGTGCTTTTTGGCCGAGGATTATCCTAACACTGTGCACTTGTATGATCAACTTCAACTGTACCGAACTGTGTGTTGTGGACACTGGAACCAACTTGCTCTGGTCTTCAATTGCATAAATTCAAAATGGAAGCGGCAATTGGTTTGAATCTTACACGTCTAGGGTTATTTCAAACATTCAAACGCGGACCATTCCGATACGCCCTCAACGTCTCAACTACGTGACACAAGCGATGTAAGCCTGGTCACGTTGTCAGCAACGTCCACAGGCCAATCAATGCCTCTCTATTTGTGAACCAAGACCTCGCTTGTCTTAACCGTAATCGCTCAACTGCGATCGAACAAACCCCATCCTGATACTTACGCTAAAAGCTCACTACATAATCTCACGTCCGGCCAGCCACACGTCTATTATTTCACTATGCTAGTACCGAACTGGTTTTCAGCTCAACCCATCTGCAAGTCAGACACTGATTTGATTGGTGTTTGGGGTTTCGGACGACAATATTGCTTACTCTACGTTAGCGCTGCAGCTCGACATAGGGTTCCGAGCGAAGTTAAGATGCAGTTAAGAACGTGAGACTGTGACGATAGTACACTTAGGATTAGGCGTGGCGGAGTCGAATGCAACTGTGGTGCATCTGGTGATAACGGAATCAGATACTGCATGCGTCAATGAGTCCAAACAAGAGCTTAAAATGGAGGAAGAGAATGACCAACTTGCTCTCGAATGTCTGTTGGCCAGAATGAATTGCCAAAATCAAAGACCTAGACTGGAAAAGAAGGTGATTTGAAATGCTGACAAGCACGTTGGGCGATAGCCCACTAGTATGGTTTTCTATGGCTTGTTGCCTGGTCATATTTCTTGTTCGCAATGTTCTCTGGCCAAAAGTCCTAGACTCGCAAGAGCCTCCTACTCTGCGGCCAAAGATACCTCTCATAGGCCATTTGATTGATCTTATCCAGATGGGATACAAGCAGCACGTCAAGAACCAGTAAGTCTTGAGCCATTCAACTTAAATAGTTCAAGACGTGATTGATTTGGACGGGCAGCTCTGGGGCAACTATATGTAACCTGACAAAATACTAGCGAGAAGTTCAACATGACGGCATACTCGTTGCCTATCCTCGGAAGCAAGCTTTACGTCGCATCTTCACCACAACTGGCATCGTCCATCTTTCAGAAGCGGACCCTTAGTTTCGAACCCCTAATTGACACATTTGTTCGCACTTTGGTAGGCATGGAGGGCCATGGGATGGAGTTGTGGACGAATCCGGAGTTTCGTACCACCATCTTCAAAGTTCTTTATAAAGGGCTATCTGGGCCTTCATTAACCGATCTGGCCAGATTAGGGGTCACCAATTTAGCCAACTCTCTCAACGAAATGTCCCTCGACCAGTTCGGGCCGAGAGACTTGTACTGCTGGACCCGCGAGACAGTGTCTAGGGCCATCATGGGAGGCTTCTACGGGAAGTTGAGTCCTTGGGAGAACACCGCGATAATGCAGAGCTTCTGGTAACCATATTCTATACTTATACCTGTTCCGGCCTCGCCACGCTACAGGCGCGTGTACCTTGGCCAAAGCCAGGCTAATTCTTAACGCGCAGGATCTATCACGATGATATGTACAGACTCTTTCCAGGAATTGCTCCCTCCGTCATCGCATCCAAGGCATTCAAAGCGAGAACAGAGGTCATTGAAGCCCTGGAGGCGTACATCAGGCGCGAGGAGGATTTTGGTGCCGAAGTTCCTCAGTTCACTCGGGACAGATTTGCTGCAGAACGAAAATTCGAAATGTCGATGCACAACAGCGCCAAGATTGAGATTCTCCTCGCCACCGCCCTCGCCAATATTTCCACGCTGACCTTCTGGCTTCTATCCAACATTTACAGCCAGCCAGATCTTTTGGCTCATATTCGAACCGAGCTTCTCAGTGCCGCAGTTACCACCAATCGAACTGATCAGAATCACGTCGAGATGACGCTTCATCTGGGGAAAATCAAAGAGCACTGCCCACTTCTACTGTCTTGTGCGCAAGAGACGGAGCGACACAACATCGTGGACAACATTACGCGAACGGTGATGACAGACACGACGATATCGGACGGTGGCCGCTCGTACCTCCTCAAGAAAGGGAACAACGTCCAGATGCCGCTTAGCATTCTACATAGCGATGCCAAGGTATGGGGCGCCAACCCAGAAAGCTGGCAAGGTGACAGGTTTCTGAACCTGGGCTACAATGCATCATCACCACCTGGTTTCCTCCCATTTGGAGGTGGCAAGCATGTTTGGTACGTGGATTGAATTCTTGTAGTGGATGATTTACACTGACCGTGCATCCATGTGAAAGCCCCGGTCGTCACCTTGCAAACGGGCTTCTTCTTGGCATTGCTGCACAGATGATACTCAGTATTGACTTGGTACGTACTGGTGGTGGACCCGTTCGGGTTCCAAAAGCGCAAGTTCCTTGGGCAACGACTGGTATAGGGAGACCGGAGCCCGGACCAGATTTGAAAGTCAAGATCTGTAGGCGGAAGGATTGGAGCCATGTGAAGTGGTCTGTTGTGCATTGAGATGCAAGATTCGACCAAGCCTACGATTTGACCTACGCTGGTTTGATACCAGCTTAAATTGGTGGGCGCGGGAGTATCAACTCCATGTCTTGTGTGTTTGGCTATGGCAGCACCGAGTACCTACAAATAGCAGGATGCTTTTCTTTCATGCTTTGCCAACCTTCATAGTCATAAGATGTTTTCGCCGGACCATGGTGACACGGAAGGGCAGTATACTTGAATTACATGAGTTGCGACTTCGTGTATCATAACTTTGCGGAGCCGTTAGGGTAGTCGAATTGGCTGCGTCTCCGCTGTGGATACGCACAATGGTAATTGACTATGACCTGAATACTGGCAGCAATTTTCATCGACATCCGATATGGTGTAGTGGCCAACATGATGCCCTCTCATCTTACGAGAGGTTAGGCATAGCCCCGAGTTCGATTCTCGGTTTCGGAAATCAGTAGGACTCGGCTTGGGTGTCCAGACTTTTGTTTTTCGCGGTAACACTCATTTCATATCTCATTATCCATCCATGGTTGCTCTAGATAAGTGACACTTTACTTCCTTGGCTGGATCGACAGAGTTCTCTGGTTATGTGTAAGTTGTGGGTGAAATTATTTGCCCATAACCAATACTACGAGTATTTATCATATCTAATACACAAGTTACGTTATGGTTGCGAAGTTGCAAGTTCAAATCAACGGCTGATTCACGTTGGAGTAGGTACTGTTTGAGAAATAAATTAAATGTCGCTAGTGGTGTACTGGATAGTCGGGCATTTGATCTAAATCACGTGAAGCTGACTCTCCCGCCACCGAGCGGTGCATACCCCGCGGGATTGACGCATGCATTTCGGCACGGCAGCAATTCGGATCGCGGAATGTCGGCGATTGGAAATCAAATGGCCCCACTATCGATGCCGAGCCCGGGAGTGGGTCTCGGACACTGCGAGAAACGGCTTAGAAATCCTGAATGACTAATGGCCACTGCCGCGGGTTCATGGTGATGCAATCATCCAGTCGTCTCATTTTCGCGCCCCGTCACGCCCTACAAGTCCTCCTTTTAAACTCCCGTCTCCTGACCCCCGCACGGCATTGTGTAATTCAACATCAGTCCTGCATTTGAAGTACATATAAGGTATTATTATGAGCACAATCCTACGACGAACTTCAATACTCACATCATCTGTCAAAATCAGCCCAAAAACCAACATCATTCCCCGCATCACCCACAATAGACCCCTCGCCACAATGACTACCGGCAACTTCCGCTATCTGGATCCCGCGACTTTGGAGGTCAGCAAGCCCTGGGCAAAGGTCGACACAGACGTGACCTCTTTCAGCCGACTCGAGCGCCGCCGCTCAGTGGCCAACATCCGCGACTCAACGGAAGAGTTCGGGACCGACGTCTCTGGGTTTGCCGTGTACAACTCCCCCGCCAAGGAGAAGGACTTCAACGACGACGAGGCAGTGCGGAGCGGCTACTATGCTGAAGTAGAGGCACTCCTGAGGGAGAAGTTGCCCGGCGTGAAGAAGGTTGTGATTTTCGACCACACGATTCGGAGGAGGGAGAAGAGCAGCCCGAGACAGCCGGTGCAGCAGGTGCATGTCGACCAGACGCCCGGCGCGGCGGAAGCGCGCGTGAGGAGGCATGTTCCGGGAGCCGAGGCGGATGAGCTGGTCAATGGACGGTACCAGATTATCAACGTCTGGAGACCGATTGGACACCCGGCGAGTGACTTCCCGCTTGCGGTGATTGACTGGCGGACGACGGAGCCCAAAGATCTGATCGCTGTGGATCTGTTGTATCCCAGGAGGACGGATACTGACGACGATGATCGGGGCAAGGAGGTGCTTCCGGACCCGGCTTTGGCGCGGTCGACGGAGAACTACGATGTCAAGGGTAAGTGTGGCCCTGGTCGTGGCAGAGTCTCAAGCACGTTCATTTTGCTAACATCGATGCAGGCGAGACTTTCTCTGTTGCACCAAGCGACAAGCACAAGCTGTATTATGCCAAAGATATGACCCCTGACGAAGCCATGTTCATCAAGTGCTTCGACTCAAGGAGCCAAGGGCGGCCTGGCGGCAAGCCGGGACGGGCCGATTACACGCCTCACACGGCCTTCATTGACCCCAACACCCCCACAGATGCAAAGGGAAGACAAAGCATAGAGGTTAGATGCTTGGTGTTTTATGAGTAAAGACAATTGATCAGAGAACAAACGCCTATGTCATTGTACTTCGATCAGGGCCTGTTACCTGCAAAATGAAGAAAATTAGGATATGCTATTATGAGCTATGAATACTACAAATCAGAGCATTCACAATGATCGGACACTGAATGATGTGAAATGATGGTACATCTTGACATTGAGATTATGTATTGAGATTATCTAGCGAGCGTGGTTGTGTGCATATACTTTAAAGTGGACAAGGGGTATCTAAGTATGCTGGTGGCATATATACAGCGAACGGCGTAGTTGTAGGAGCAACAACAAAGCGATATTCGACATGAGTTCAAGCGCCCAATCAGGCTGATGAGGGGCACGATCAAGTGGACTGGTAGACGGCAACATAGGCGGTCTCCATCATGCTTCCCCAGCCGCCAATGGTAGAGCCATCCGGGTTTCCGGGCTGTAAGCAGTCAGTCAAACCATCCTTGAACAAGCTTGTATAATGGCATCAACTTACCCAGTTACCGCCGACGGCAACATTCAAAATAAAGAACAACGGCGCGCGAGCCAACGTGTTCCAGATACCTTCACTTCCGATCCTGGCGCCGCTGATCTGGTGAAACTGCTGCCCGTCACGGAACCAGGTAATCGTCTCCGTCTGCCAGTTGCCAGACCGACGATCAATCTGCAGGCGCCAAGTGTGCCACCCCTGATCCGGGATGCCAATGTTACCACCGATGCCGTTGGGCTCGTTGCACGCGCCGCCGGGGAGGACATCGCAGTGGACGGTCCCGTACCCCGTCAGCTGTCCGTTAACCGTCTCGAGGATATCAAGCTCGCCGCAGCGAGGCCAGCTGACGCCGTTGCGGATGGCGTCGCCGAGGATCCAAAATGCGGGCCAGATGCCCTTCTTGTTGGCGATGGCGTTGTCGCCGAAGCGGATCTGGGCCTCGGCGACGGTGAGGCGGCCGGCGGCGGGGGTGAAGACGTAGCGGGACTCGATGCGGCCCGAGGTCCAGGCGCCGTTGCCGTCCTTTTGGGGCACGATTTGGACGGTGCCGCCACCTGAGATTTGGAGGTTGGAGCGGGAGGTTGTGTATTCCTGGATCTCGTTGTTAACGTGGAGGTTGGTGATGATGTTCCAGTTACCGCCGTTGATGGGGTCGCCCGAGGCGCCGGGGAAGCTGTCTTGCCAGAGGCGGGTGAGGCCGGAGTAGTTTGGAGAGTCCCAGGCCCGGGTGGCGGCCGGGAGGAGGAGGAGGAGGGTTGAGAGGATGGAGGTTGAGTACATTGTTGCGATGATGCAAAGCTCTAGGAGCTAAGGAACGTAGTTGGTGTTCTGGATGTCTGGTCTTGCAAAGATGGCTTCAATGAGTGAATAGAGTTTGAAGCAAACTACTTATCCAAAGTGAAACTGAAAGGACTGTGACGAAGAAGGTTTATAAGAGAGAGAAGAGAGAGAGACTGTAGCTATTCGAAAAGGAAAGGCATGTCTTGGTGAGGGGCACAAGATCACGATGGTGGATGTCGTCGGGGAGGAAGGTCGCACGAGGAGCGGGTTGAAGACCATGGGGACAGAACGGGAAGCATTCATCATGGGACTTGCTGTATATATACAATAGGAAAAAGGCCAAGTGAGAGTCTGCAGATGTAACATTGAACGATGCGTGCCGCGTTGGCCATGGGCCAAGGGTTCTCCTCTGCCCAGTCCTTGGAACAAAGAAGGGCCACCTCAGCGGCGGGAGCAACCCGCATGTCGAATCTAGACTTGCATTTTGCAAGGCGTAGTGGTACTGTGCTGTAGTCACCGCCGCCCGGTGGGCTACGGGGAGGAGAGTTGTCCTTTTTTTCCTTCTTGTTTAATGACAAGAGTCCCCAAGTCTCAGAGCTGCGTCCAATCTTCAGCAGAGAACGGAGGTCTCAAGGAGGGTGGATGGTAGTCTGGTTCATATATGCTTACCCCCTGTGCTCTCTCCGTCGTCTAGTGTTGCACAGGGCAGGTTAAATCGGACTTGGGTGGTCCGGTCTAGAATATCAGATGGCACATGTACGTCCCCGCTACTCACCTCAAAGACCGTGCCCCAAGCCCACGAGAATGGGTGCACCACGCGGTGTAAGAGCGATGGACGGAGGAAGCGTGCTCCTCTGAGACATGGTCCGCCGCGGGACACACGTCCACATCCTCGGTGGCTCCAATATCTCGGACGGTGGTGACCCCCTTGCGCTGTAATCACGGCCCGGCCAGTCTGTCAATCGTGGATTCGCGGTTGGCACGGCCAATATTCCGAGATGAGGCGGGCGCATAAGCGGAGCGTAGAGACTTTGTGGCTGGCTTGACAAACGTGCATACATGTAGTTTGGCAAAAAAGAAAGATTAAGGCTCTTCAAGGGTGGCCAATAGAAGTCGAGAAGAGCCGACTGTGCAGAGGATGTCCCTGTTGTGGGAAACACCGGGAGGACTGGGGTGGCTTTTGGGCCCCCAAGTGTCCTCTCGGGAGAGGCTTCGTTTCATCTCGGGCATCTGCCAATCGGCGACAGAAGATGGCAAGGCTTTAAAAGCGCCCCGCGAGCGGAAAGAAGGGGGGACCACGGGGATATCGAGCGATCGGTACCAGCGGCGCGGCCCAAAGGCCTGTGGTTGGTTGCGGCTCGAACAAACTGACCCTGGTGACGGCCACGCGGGAAGTGGCATTCGGCCGCCCTCCCTGGTCCATGGAAGAGGAAACCCCCCAGGGACCCGCAGTTGATCCCAAGGTCTGGGCCTGCTTCGCTTCGGCAGACCTTTGATATTGTCATATTGAAATCCCTTCTCGTCTACAGTCTTGGGGTCTTGGGAGGTGGATCCCGTTGCCAAGCGGGATATTGTTTTCGTCACGTCCAGTAATTTTGCAGAAGGACCCCAAGACTGACGGAGAGACATCAGGCGAGAGATATTGGTGACCTTTGTGCGACGGAGACCAGTGAGGATGTGTAAGAATGGCGGTACCTGAACGCCACCGAGCTAACGGCAGTTGTGCAAACCAGTCTAGTAAGCTGCAAGATCTAGACACTTGCACTGTGCACGATAATTGTTGCCCCCCTTCTACTTCTTGTCATGTTTGGCGCAATAACCCAAGTGCTTGGTGTTGGAAAAGGTGACGTTGCAGACCCCAAAAAGACTGCACGAGGTAGCAGATGTGGACAGCTGCGCTTTTGACAGGTTCAGTGTCTTAGCCAGTCACTCTCCTCTCGGGGAAAGGGGGAAGATGGGGTTCTTGTGGGCATAACTCGTTCTGCACCTGAC